AAAAAAAAAAAAAGAATCGGACTTGAAACTCTTTCACTAACAACAGGAGATAGGGGCCAAAAGCTGATCATGTAAGCCTGTTTACTCCATGTCTGAAAAATTATGTATGCTGGACATTCAGACCCCATTCTAGAGATGTATTCTGTGAAAAATGAACAAGGCTTATTTTTAAGATAATGTAATATTAAAAAAACAATAACTCATGAGAGACCTGAGTTCCTTTCATGAAAACAGGGAGAACTGAACAAAGAATAAGACACTGCATCCTTATCAGCCAAGGTATCAGAAAGGAACTGCTAAGAACAGGCTCTCCAATGATACAATGAATTACTTTCATAAATACAGGATTGTTCTGATAGCTAAGACTACTACTTAACAGTAACAAAACTATTAAGAATTTTTAAAATTTGCAGGCCTATAACCAGACCTGAAGATGAAGGCAAAAAGAAGAACCAAATGTGATGACACAAGATAGGTGAAAGCAATTGCTTCCATGTAGAATCAGCAATTTTCCATTAAAGCAAAAGGAGAGCAGGTCACATATGAAAGGAGATGGGAAAGGGAAGGGCTTTCCATCCAATCTGGGTAAATTCTCTACTGACCTTGCTACTTGCAAATACATACAGACCATAAAGCTTTGGTCAGCCTTTCTGTCCTTATTGTTTGAATTCAGCCATTTAGGAGATAAGCTGCTTAAGTAAAGTTGCACTATTTTATATCTAACTTTTACCTGATCTCCAGGTATCTGATGATCATACTCATCTGTTAGCATTTCAGGTTTGAAAAACTGGACTGCCAGATTAAAACTGCTTGCAGGTTACTATGTTATTAATAACCAATACAGTTCACTTAGATGTGCTAGATGTCAGAATTCATTAGCAGGGCTACAAAATGGCAGTTTTTCTGCCTGCAAAATGAAATTCCTTATTTAAAAAATAAGTTCCTTATTTAAAAAAAAAAAAAGTCCTAATGGGCCAGGTGCAGTGGCACACACCTGTAATCCTAGAGACTTGGAAGGCTAAGGCAGGAGGATTACAAGTTTATTTTTGATATTGGGGATCAAACCCAGGGCCTTGTGCATACAAGGCAAGCACTCTACCAACTGAGCTATATCCCCAGCCCCAATGGATTACAAGTTTAAAACCAGCCCTCAGCACCTTAGCACAACCATAAGCAACTTAGCAAGACCCTGTCTCAAAATTTTTAAAAATGGGAGATGGGGATATGGCTCAGTGGTTATACATGCCCCTAGGTTCAATCTTTGGTACACACACACACACACACACAAAGTCTTTATGTGAATTTACAAAAATTCATTTTTTCCTAGCAGAAGCAAATTTCATGTCAAACAGGTTACAAAATTTTAAAAAAGCATAAACTATTTTAGCCAAAGGGATGGGGAAATGTACACACTCACAACTACAACAGTTCTCCTCGCCTGCAAAATGCAACAAAACAGCCACCACACAAGATCCAAACACAAGACAAAACAAAGTTCATTATCATGAAATTCTAAGAGCTTTTGTTAGAAAGGTAGTAAATGAAATTAAATGAAATGAAATTTGTTGCAAAAGTAATGAAACAATTAAATTCTAGAAATTTTAAAACATCAGATAGGAGAAATTAAAATTTATCTTCACTCTAGGAAATTAAAAATTTCAAAAATCCTAAGCAAGTTTATTTAGAAACTAAAACAAATAGATTTTTAGAATTTTTGAAAATACAAAAAGCTCAAATATGATGAAAAGCGCTGTCAAAGCTGAAACATTTTATCTATAAAATACTAGATCACACTGTGCCAATGTCCGAACATAAACCCAGCGGCTCCGGAGGCTGAGGCAGGAGGACTTCGAGTTCAAAGCCAGCCTCAGCAACCACGAGGCACTGAGCAACTCAATGAGACCCTGTCTCTAAATAAAATACAAAACAGGGCTGGGGATGCAGTTCAGTGGTCGAGTGCCCCCGAGTTCAATCTCCAGTACCAAAAAAAAAAAAAAAAAGTCTAAGCATAGATATCCTACGGCTTTCAACTTCTAAACTCAGAACTCAAGGCAATCTACCTCTGAGTTTCAAGATAGGGGGAGAGTGGCCCAAAACTCTCCAATTGCTAAGACCATGGATTTTTAAAAATTACTGTAAAAAGCTAAAAAATATTATAGTTCCCCAAAATGGGCTTAGGTAATAAGCAACACTTCAACAATGTTTTATTATCTGCCAATAAAATCTCATTTAATATAAAAATTGTGTGGAGTGTCTGATATTAGTTAGAAATTTCAAAGGGTCTAAATGAAATTCTATTTGATTATGCAAAAAGATACACTGGAGAACTCAGAAAGTACCAAAGTATGTGTGCTAAATTTTTCATCCATTGTTATATGCTTCAAACATTAAATCAATGGTTCAGATGTGGCTCTTAAGGTAACTACAGTAATTCTTCTAGCCCCTACAAGCTATTTAAAGGAACAGTGTTATCATTTAAAAGATAACAGGCTGGGGGGGGGGGTTTCTCAAAGTATATTCTGGATGACACAAAAAATGTATTATATTGCTTTAGAACTTTATTTTGCATAAATTAGGAAAATACCAGAGCTTGTTGAAACTTTCAATATGTTAATATACATCTAGGACCTCCAAGAAGGAAGGAAGTAGGTAGTTTGTGTGCTGAGTTATTTATAGACCCCTTTTGCTTCCTTGGAACAAAGTTTGGGAAACATGACCTCTAATCAGAATGAAATTAACATTTTCCCCAAAGTCTAAATTATAAGTAAGATATAGACCACCTGAGGTCCTTCCATTCTGAATTCTCCAAGACTGAAAAGTTAAACTAATGGCATAATTTAGGAATTGAATTGTTAAGTATCTCTCTTCTTTACTTCCCCTCAAATAACTTGCACAGTTATTCTATACAGCAAACCAATCAGTACTCCTTTTTATAAGTATCAGAATCCTTCAGCTTTCCCCTCTACCCTGGACAGCCTCTGGGCACAAGTACTGTCTCTGAGTACACTAGAGTGGCTTTCAGGTTCCCGCTCTCACACGGAGTGTTCTGTGCAGGGGCAAAGGCCCTCCACAGCGCCCTGCCTCCCCCTGCACAAGACCAGCAAAGCCGACCCTCAGTGGTGGATGGCTTGAGCCCAGGAGTTCAAGAGCAGTTGGGGCAACACAGTGAGAAGCCAGGAGAAAGGAAGAGAGAACGTGGATTGGTTGGTGTGATTTATACAGATGTCCCCCCTACAAATCTCTTTTTCTTACCTTGTCCTCTCAGTCTAATAGTTCCAACTACCCACAGGATATTTCCATTTGACCTCAGCTAGCTGAAGAATATCCACACAAATACACGGACTCAGAAGTGCCCTTCACCCTTCCCTCCACCTTCTGCCCCAAGAACCTCCTGCCAGTTAGTTTCATTCCTTTGCTCCTTACTTCACACCACCTACCACACCTTGCTCCACATCTGAATCACCTCTGCATTCTACCCTGTTAGGCAAAATCCCATTTCTATCTTTTTGCCCTTGGAGAAGGGGTGAAGGTGACGCATAACTATACCACCTATGAAGACAGGTGAGGAGTGCTCTAGCAGGAAGGTGCTAAGGAAACACCCAGAAAGGACTAACTAAACTCCTGGGCACAGTGGCACACGCCTGTAATCCCAGCAGCTTAGGAAGTTGAGGCAGGAGGTTCACAAGTTCAAAGTCAGCCTCAGCAACTTAGCAAGATCCTGTCTCCGAATTTTAAAAAAAGGAACTGAGGATGTGCTTTGGTGGTTAAGAGCTCCTAGGTCCAATCCTTAGTACCAAAAAAGAAAAAAAGAACTAACTAAAACATGCATGTCCCCACCTTCCGCCTCAGGGATCTGAGACACTTTCTACAGGAGCAACCCCTGCATTTCATTTTTTCTATCTGGAAAACCAACAATCCTACCTCATGGAAGGACCATCCCTCCACCGCCCTGCTACCACCACTGCTCTCATCACGCTCAACATAACCTCAGGTCTGTCTGGGACCCTACGCCAACACCACACTAGTCTTCATTACGAGACCTTTACATCAAGTCTTGGAATTCTGCTTTAGGAGCATATTCCCTATTCTTTATCCTTTTCCCTTTCTTACAATTTTAGGATCAGTGTGTCATATTCTAGGAAAGGCCCTCTTGGGGTTCTGATGAGAAATGAATTGCACGTATCAGCCTATCTGAAGAGAACCGACTGCTTTACAGCACTGTCTTCCTGTCAGGAATAAGAGCCATCCGCACATTTAATTAGGTCTCCTTTTATGTCTCTTGAATAAACTTTAGATTTTGACATCCAGACTCTGGCTGTTGGATTTATCCTAGATACTGGGTTACAGATTCTCTTTAGTTTTCTACACATTATCATCTGTAAGTGACAGCAATTTTGTTTAGGCATACAGTCCTCGTGCCTGTTAATACCGTCCTGTCAGATTACTGTGGCAGTCAGCTAGGCTGGTGAGAAGTGGCAGCAATGGGGCACCCTTCGCCCTGCACCTGACTACACAGGAAATGTTCCACACTCCCCCATGAGACTGACAGGCATTCTCTGTAAGGCCAGTTTCCTTAGACACTCTTCACGGATTAAGAACATTTCCTCCTACTTGAAGCTTGCAAGATCTCAGTCACCTCTGTCAAAGACTCAGTGACAAAGGCGCTTTCTTCCTTAGGATATAAATGTGGTTTTCCTGCAGAAGCAGAAGCAGGAACTCACGGGAATCCTTAACATGGAAGTTTTGTACATGGATGTTCATCTCACTTCAACCACCCCAAGAGGTAGACATTGTTATTCCCTTTTCACAGATGACGACATGAGACTTCAAAGAGACCATCTCCCACTGAAAGAGGAGGAAGAACTGGGCAGAGGCACAGGCTGCACTGCCTCGGGAGGAAGCGGTACTTCCCTGCCACAGTGGCTCAGCCAAGGGCCCTTCTGGCCACAAAGACTACAGCAGCAATGATTCCAAAGTGAACTTGGGTTTCCAGCATTTACCTTCTACTCTACCACAGTCCAAAAGGCCACAGGTACTCCAAGAAGTCTTTCAAGGGGCTGGGGCTCAGCAGTAGAGCACTCGCCTAGCACATGTGAGGTACTGGGTTCAATCCTAGGCATCACAGAAAAATAAATAAGACAAAGGTATTATGTCCATCTACAATTAAATATATATATTTAAAAAAGGGATTGGGGTTGGGGCTCAGCGGTAGAGCGCTCATCTAACACCTGCGAGATGCTGGGTTTGATCCTCAGCACCACATAAAAATAAATAAAATAAAAGGCATTGTGTCCAACTACAACTAAAAATATTAAAAAAAAAAAAAAAGAGGGCTGGGGTTGTGGATCAGTGGTAGAGCACTCGCCTCACATGTGTAAGACACTGGGTTCAATCCTCAGCAACACATAAAAATACATGAATAAAATAAAGGTATTGTGTCCAACTACATCTAAAAAATAAATATTTTTAAAAAAAGAGAGAGATGTCTTTCAAATTATCAAAGCAGGGCAAATTCAACAGGGGAAAAAGAAACAGGACTAAATAAGCTGAGAATTTTAAGTTCACCTGACATACATTCCAAATTTTTTAGAATGAGCTGTTGCTCCAAGGCCTTTAATGCCACTGGTGTCTGAAAATATGTGCAGAGACGGCTAAAGAGAGCCAAGACAATAGCAGATTGAAACGGACATCATGGAAAATGGCACGTTTGAAAAAACCAGTACATTTAGTCCAGGAAAGAAGAGGTTACTGAGCACAACAATTCCGTCACACCAAGCAGAGGCACGGAGAAAGGGGACTCATTTCTGTTATTACCTATATTTCTCCTGAAGGCCAACAATGGGTCAAATCAAATCAATCAAAACATTTCTAAGAAAATACTGTTGCACTGTGGTAGACACTATGCTGAGTCACCCAGGATCCACCTGAAGGACCTGGTTGGGCTGCTCCCCTCTCAATCAGCCCCTCAGAGAGCTCTGGGCTGCAGAAAACAGCTCCAGGCAACCACCAAGCCTCCCAGGGCTCCTGAGGCTGTGCCTCCCTGGGCCTATCAGGCAGTTCAAGGGCTCCCTCCCCCACACATGTCCTAACCAGCGCTCCACGTGCCTCTGTGTCCAGAGAACCAGCATGTGACGCTGAGGGAAGAACTGGCTTCCCCTGCTCACTGAAGTACCTCTTCACTAACTCCAAACAGCAGAACCACCACCCTTTGGTGTACATTTACCATGGGCAAAACACAGAGAAGGACACAAGTGAGTTTAATCTAGAGGCAACAGCAGCATGTTCACAAGCAAATTTAAAACTAGGACAATATGATTTCATCACGTACATGAAATGCTCATCCTCATGGTCCTGGGAACTTTTGCACCGCGGGTAAACCAGAACCCACAGTTCCACCCACAAAACTGTTTTTCCTCTAAGAACATGGATATACTCATCCAGGTCTGAGGCACCGCAGTCACTCTCAATCAGTAAACATCATTGCCTTTTCTTAAAACCTCAATGCATTTCTACTCCACTGGGGGAGAATGCCTCACCAAGACAGAGGCAGATTGGAGTGATGTGCCCATGAGCCAAGGAACACCAAGGACTGCCAGGAGCTGCTGGCACACAGACCAGGTCCTCCCTCAGAGGGAACCAGCCCTGCCAACCACTGGCCTCCAGAATTGTAAAAAAAAATAAATTGCTGCTGCTGCTATAAGCCCCAGTTCATGGTACTTCCTTACAACAGTCCCAGGATGTAATGCTTAATTGAATTTTCAACTTGATTGGATTAAAAGATACCGAGGATTAAGACAATTACGGGTTGTCAATGAGGGCGCCTAGGGATGATTGGCATGTGGGACAGTTAACAGAAATGGAGACCCTCCCTAAGTGTGGGCAGCACCTACCAATAGGATGGTGGCTTAGATGGTATGAAAGTTAGAAGAACAAGGGAGCCACAGCAGATGCGATTGCTGCTGAGATCTACTCAGGATATCGGACTCTCGCTTCTTCACTCTTCCAAAGCGGATTCTCCAGAAGCTTTGGACTTGAACTAGGGTAGCACCGTGGATCCCTCTTGTTCTGGGGCTTCAGCCTCTTGGACTGTGCAGCTACTGGTTCTCCCCACTCTCCAGCCTGCAGACAGCCATGGTGGACCATCCAGCTTCTGGGGGCATGAGCCAACCTAATCGTGCCCCTTTCGGAATCATACTTCCTGTGGATTCTGTTCCTCTAGAGAACCCTAACTAATACACAGGAGATGAATGAAGCCCCTCTGATTTTTCAGAGGCAAAGAAACCTAGACATGTTTTCAGGGTCCCAACACGCATCAAAACCAGGGCAACCATGTGCCCCAGCTCCAGAGCTGGTGCCTTTCCCTCATACTATTACCCCCATCTTACTGGAGCACTTCCTTCACCTGCTTAGGGAGGACTGCAGCAAAGCCTTTCCCCTGCACTAAGCAGAGCCTCCTTAATTCAAGTTTTTGGTTTGGCCATTACTGTTCACCATCCCCAAAGGCCTGAATCCAAAAAGAAAAGTGAGACCCACTCTGACCCCACTGTAGCCAATGACAAACCTGCTTCTTCCCAATGCCACCTTTTGCCAGTCCTGGTAAGGCCCAAGCAAGAGTCAATCAGGAGTTCCAGTTTCTATAACACCGCTCTGTATATGCAAAAGGTTTGTTGTTTTTTGTAAACAGAAGAATGAAATTCAGAGGGAAAAAGTATAACATCATAAGAAAAAATAACTGCCCAATACTGATACAGCTATCAACAAAGTAAAAGGCAGGCCATAGGCTCCACCGGGAAGATCTGTAGTCCCACTGTTGTAAATGGCCAAAGTCTGTTTCTCTGCCAAATGAGCGGGACAAAGGTGGATGAGGTTCCCAATGATTCTGGCTGAAGTGACCAAGTGGTAAACCAAAAAACCAAACCATGAGATTACACAACAGAAGGACACAAAGCCCTCCCCTCAGGGTAGCCAAGGCCACACAAGAAGCCAACCTCAACACTCAATGGCATCTGAAGAGCTCAGAACTAGCAGACGGTGTCCACATAGAGCAATTTCACCAAGTGAAGACTGCAAGGTGAAAGCCCTGCGACCAAAGCTTTAAGGGTCGTGAGAGTCACCTTCCTGAATCAGCTGTGTCAAAACCTATTGGTGTGTCCTTTCTTTTTGATGGACTCCTCAGGCTGCAGCAGAGCTTTCTCTGAATAGGCTCATGAAATTCATTTTATAAAAAACAGTATAGGGAAATATTTTGAACCTACAGACCATCTCCACAGCTCTTTCTGGCCTGTGAACAAACAATCCCATCTATTACATACTCCTCAGACCCAGTTTCTCCCTGACACTTCTTTTACCCAGTATGCTCACCCATGCACAGTCCACAACTGCATGGCCACAGGCCCAAACTCAGGCCTTCCCTGACTACACACAATTTCTCCATCATGCCTCTGAGAGCAATTCTTCTCTTAGCAATATCAAGAAGAAACAAGTGTAATTTTAATATATTTAACCCAAAATATCCAAAATAGTGTCACTCCAAATATAATCAAGGTGAGATGTTTTTTACTTTTTTCATACTGTCTTTGAAATCTGATGTGACAATTGTGACACTTCTCCATTTAGATCAGCCTGTGCCAAAGCTCAAAGCTCCATGTAGCTCCTGGCTGCCTAACTGAGTGGCACAATCCTGGCTGACCTCCTCCCCCGGAGTTTTATGTAACATCTATGTGGTGACTGCTCCAAACTCCGTCCACCATCTATGTGGTGACTGCTCCAAACTCCTCTCTCCAGAACACCAGAATTCTAATGCCATCAAGCTACCAAATAGGTGTCTGACTGGCACCTCAAACTTATAGCTAAGGCGCTTCACCCATTCTACTACCCAGAATTCCAACCAACTACTTCGCAACTAGATAATGCCATGAATCCTCATTCAACTGAACCTAACAATAAACCTTATTTTCATTCTAACTTACCTATGCTGTATTTAGTGTTTGTCTGACTTCATTTACAAAGTGAAATTCCACCAGAGATGGACAGCTCAACACTGTGAAACTTAAGTTCTAAAGCTTCAGGTTAAATATGTTTTTTTAAAAAATAAAAACAGGGCTGGGGGGCTGGGGATGTGGCTCAAGCGGTAGCGCGCTCGCCTAGCATGCGTGCGGCCTGGGTTCGATCCTCGGTACCACATACAAACAAAGATGTTGTGTCTGCCAATAACTAAAAAATAAATATTAAAAAATTCTCTCTCTCTCTCTCTCAAAAAAATAAATAAATAAAATAAAAAATAAAAACAAAACAATACAAACCTGTAACTGTAGTTTACTACCAACCTCTTACAACTTACAAGACTTTTAGAGCCTTATCCCCCCTTAATTTTAAAGCTTGCAGCATTTATGATCTATTATGGAGTTTTCCAAGAAAATACATATGGACTTTCCATGGATCTCAAATTAATTATACTTTTTAAAATAGCATGGGACATTTTAAAGAGACGTTGTATAAAGAGTCTCCAAGTAAATACATTGTTAATGTTAGTCATTATGGAAACAGGATTAGGAGGTGAGAGGGGCTTTACTTTACATGTTTTTTCATAAAGTCTTCCAAGAATGATTTCATAATTTGTAGGTGCAGTGGAGCATAATAATTTGGCTTCTGGTTCAAAAAGGACTATCAAGATTGTAGCAGGACATCATTAAACCAAGCAGGGGTGGTATGTGACTGTGCAGAAAGCAGGCTGAACCTGGGCCTTCACAAGTTTATTGACCTAAGATTCAATGTGTAACACAAAGAAGTTGAGTTTCCTCAATCATATGACATTGTATCAAAGGACTACCCAGAAGAAATATCCAGCCTAATGTACAAAATTATTTAAATAGAATAACATGAGAAGACTATAATATGATACATGATATTCAGAGAAGTCAGAAACTTGGTCAATTTTTTTTTTCTTAAATGGGATGCTTAAAGAAAGATTACTTGTAAAAGTTCAACAAGGTGAATATACAAGAATGTTCACTGTAGCAGTT